GTCACTGATCCTTGATCCTCTGAAGACCCTAATGCGAGCCTTCCCTGACCCAGGCTGGGACTGCAGCTGGTCAGCAGACAGAGGCAACAGAGAAACGACCTGTCCACAGAGGCCTGGGGAAGCCAGGGCCACCAGGGACCGAGGACGGGGGAAGAGGGCTGGCCCAGCACCCTCTATGGCACTTGAGAGGGGACAGGAGAGGGTATGGCGAAGGACAGGTGCAAGCAGACGCCAGAGAGTGAGGTTGCAAGAATTTAAAATCTTGGTTGTCCAGGTGGGAGCGAGAGAAGGATGTGGGGGAGTCCATGACACTTTGGGGAAGTCGCCACTGCTGTGGCTGTGGGAGCCCGTGGTCAGAGCTGCCATTGCCTCTGTGGGGCCCGAGGGGGAAGGACTGCTAAGAATGGCTTTGTGGGGTGTCTGCAGACCCTGCTCGATAGAACAGGGCCACATCCTCTTCTGTCTGGTCATGACGCCTCCTCCCAGTTCTCTACCTGCCAAGGGCCCCTCCCACCTGCCTGTCTGGGCTCTGTGCCCTGTAGCCGCCCTACCCTTCTTGAGCAGGGCCTGTGCTTTCCTCTCCAAGCCCTTCTGAAATCACCGGCCACTGCCAGGCATTTGGACAGTGGCCCAGTTCGCAGGTTCCCGAAGTGGCCTCCCCTTCCCCTTTTCTCCAGCAGCCAGAGGGACCCTCTTGAAGCACAGCCTTATCAGTCCCTCCCCTGTCTGTGCCCTGAGATGAAACAAAACTGGCAAGATGGCCCTGCTGCTGGGGCGCCCATCTTGGCCACCCTACCTCTGCCTCCCCGGGGTCTGCACTCTGACGGGCTGGGAGTTACAGTGTTTCCCGGGACAGCTGTAGGACGTGCCCAGCGCCTGGGGGAGGAAAACCCAGGGCTGTCCAGTCTCCCTGGCTTCCTTTCTGTGTCGGAGCCCCCAAGGTGCTCTAGGGGCCTTACAAAGATGCATCTCGCCTACTGTCTGCAGGGCTGAGGCAGCAGATGCTGGGGCAGAGAGGCGTGGACTTCCCAGCCCTGTCCTGTCAGGCCCCTGTGTTCTGCTGGCCAAAGGGGGTTTCAAGCATGCATGGTGAGGGGGTGGGGTGCAGTGCCAGGCCCTGAGCTCTACTGCAGCTCCTGGAGAGATGCTAAGTATATATCTCTGGAGTAGAGGTGACAGCGGGCCAGCTGCACCCTCCCCCTGCAGTGTCCCAGGAAGCAGGCAGCCTTTCAGATCCAGGGTGGGAGACCAGAGGGGCAAGCTGGAGAGGGACGGGGAGGGAGGGCCAGTTGGAAGGTTTCTATTCGCTGGGGGAGGCCTGGGAAGGGACTCAGGCCACACCAGAGCCCAGGGCAGTGGTGGAGCGGCTGGGGTGGCCCCTGCGCTGGGGCACCTGGGTCTCCCGGAGGACTGGGCAGCTGGAGAGCGGGCGGGCAGTGGCAGGGCAGGGGGGCTCCTCTTGTGGAGGCGGTGGCACAATGAGCTTTGGAATTGGGATGAGCCAAGAACAAAGGGGAAGCTGGAGTCCACCTGCTAGGGCTTTGTACTTCCGGCTCCTGGGGAGGCTGCAGCCTGGGTTGGAAGAATGGGGCTGGGGCTGCAGAAAAGCGCAGCAGGGGACCACCTCCCCGACAGCACCCCCAGCCCTTGCCCACCACCAGCTGTGCTCATTCACACGGACCCTCCACCCTCCGAAAGGATGTTTTGCTCGTTTTTTGTTTTACTTGCACTTTG